TTGTCTCGGATACGAAAGATTTGAAAAGGTATCCTCAATATATGTAAATTCATCATTTAAATATTTTGATGAACAGATGCGAAGAGCCCTCAAATAGAATCCAATAACAATACCCCTCTTAGTGTTAGTATCATGGTGAGAGTAAAAATGTAAATAGTCATTTTTTACATGTAGGTTTACGATATACTTTGAATTCTAATTTATTTTTTTATTTTAATGAGTAATATGTCTAAAAAAGGTAAGGAATTATTAGATTCAAGTTCATAGGTAAATTCTATAGTAGGTTCTATTCTATTTAATCTATCAGTAATCTCGTTTAAATCATGCTTATGTGGGTAGATAAATTTTAATGTCATCGATGTATCGAAAGTAATGTGTATCAGGTGGAATGACATCTTTAAAAGGTCCAGATTCAAGAAATTCTAGAAATATGCATGCTAGAATCCAGAGAGAGACTCCCCATCGGTAAACCAAATTTTTGTTTATAATAAATATTATTATATTGGAAGAAACAATGTGAATGCAAAGGATGCATAATTTGATGCATTTCGAGATAGAGATAGGTAAATTAAAGTCAATTTTCTTAAGGTGGTTCTCTCATTGTTTAATGCATTTATCAACAGGTATATTAGTATATAAAGATTTGATGTCTAAGCTTAAATAGTAATTTGTTATCTATATCAATATTTCTCAACTTGTTTAAAGAGAGCCTGAATTCTTTTATATGTGCGTTATATCCCCAAAACCCATAAGCTAATATTCCATTAAGGCCCATCATTTCGGAATTGTTGTACAGTTTTAGGCTCAGCTCCTCATAATATCGCTATCATTCTCAGTATTCTTGCACTTAACTTAATATATATATTCATAAAATTTTTAAAAAAATGACCCCCTCAGATAAACAGATATTTATCAAACATGCAGGGGTCAATTAACCTCATTCCCCTCTGTCGGATTTAAAAAAATAATTTTCAAAGACATAACGATTCCTTCCAATAAAAAATTAATTTCAATTCACACAGCTGCAAATGATATCACAAAGTCCGAAACAATAACTTCTACAACGCAAAGAATATATTTGGCTGTTTCAATTTTAATATATACTAAAGTATATATATTATATATTACTATATAAAATATATTGTAGAACAGGTTTATTGACCTTGACTTGTATAAAAAAAAAGCGTATGCTGTAGGCCCACTGAATGATTTTAAAACCCTAAGTTAGTACATAGTGAGCAAAAGATTGCCCACCCCTGCTTTAGGATTTCACTATACGAGTAGTCAAGATTGTGGTTTTAATTATCTGCGTTTAACGTCATCAATATAATTTTACTTTTACGTTAATCCAGTGGTTCTCAAATGGTGCGCCTGGGCACAATGTTGCGCTCTGGAAGATGTCTAGGTGTGCCCTGGCATTCCAGAGAAATATGTGTCCAAATATAAGAAATAAATATATTTACTTTATTACATTGCGGTACCCGCCTCATTGCTGATAGCCCTCGAGGAAAGCTTCAATGATAGGAATCTTTTGTTTTTCTGTATTGAATTTGTAGGAGTTACTGGTCGATCCCCCATGCCTAGTTCGAGAAAGTTGATTACTAAAAGATGTATTATGTAACATGAAATGATGACGAGGATTAGAATTGTTTATTTAAATGTCTTATTTATAATATCATAGTAATTTATCATTTATAATTTATCACTTATTTGTTTCTAAGCAAATGGGATAAATTAGTTACTTTATCATATCCGCTGATCGTGGGTTGATGATTAAACATAATGGATTGTCTCTTGAAGCTTTTTGGATTTCTATAAAAGAAGAATATGTGTCAATATCTAAAAAAAACTCTGACCATTTTACTACAGTTTGCAATATCATATTTACTTGAATTAGGCTTTTCTGCTCTCACCACAATTAAGTGCAAAAAGAGAGGAACTCTTCAATGTATTGAGGAGGAAATAGGAGTTTGCCTATCAAATATACACCCATTGAAGAAATCATTAAGATGCATCAGGCTAATGTTTCTAATAAACACAAGAATGAATAAATTTAAGATAGGTTTCATTTTATATATTTTTATTAGATTATTTCTTTTCTGCAATATTTGACTTTATTATAAGATTTTTTTCCGAAATTTGTATATAGTGTTCCTACAATTATTGGTAGGAGTTCAAATGCACCCCGACTTCAAAACGTTTGAGACCCAACGACCGAAACATTGTGAATATAGCGATAAAAATAAGGATAACAATTCCAATAATGTAAATAAAGTATATTTTGATTATTTTTTTTTATTTTTATTAAATGATTAAATTGAATTCTTGTCTTTACACTCCAAGGTTCAAATAAGCATCTCACTTAGTTTATCAAATATATTGGTTTAGTCCCTCTGGAATGCTTATTTTAAAATAATTGGGGGGGAAAATGGGCGCTTATTCGAGAGTGGGTGCTAAATGGGGATAGAAAAAATACATTTTAAAAATTGTCTGGAAAATAAAAACCAATAAAGGGACAAGAATAGAGATATATAGAAATCAAATGAAAAATAATTACCTTACTCCCAGGGTCATGCAAAACTTTGAGGGCCATGGGAGGCACTGGAACCGTGGGCATAATCATCTTTTCCTAAACTCAACTTCCGTTCAAATTCAAGTGCTTCCTCCTCAGCTTTTTCTTTTAATGCCATTTGGTAGGCGATCTCAAACGCCTGTCCTAAGGTGAGGATGATGTTTCGAGCCAGATCCTGATGAAGAGACGAAAGAAACAAATTTGATGAGTAAAAGTTTGCAGGCAAAGTTTTTTTGTGTGGTAATTTAAACGCAATATGAAATCTTCCAAACGAATTCTAAGACAAATGCTCGGAATTTTACGGAGGAGAAAGCGTCAGTTTAAATTTACGCGATGAGGATATGTTCTAAGGGAACGCTGATTCGAATCCGACCGGAGAGAGTATATATGATTCTAATAAGATTTCTCGAATATTCAGGTCGGTAGACGAAAATAAAAAACAAGTATACTGATTAATAAATAAATGGAGTGTCGACTCAAATACTAGTATCAACTAAAAATATATATATATATATATATATATATATATATATATATATATATATATATGGAGAAAGTTGCATATTCTGGCCGGTAAACAAAAATAAATGAATATACTTACTGTTTAATAAATAAACAGAGCGTCAGCTAAAATACGAGTATCCACTAAAATGCCATTTAAATAAAAACACACATACACATATATATATATATATATATATATATATATATATATATGTGTGTGTGTGTGTATGTATATATAAATAAAAAAAAGAAAGAAAGTAAGATATATAATCCGGTGTTCTTATAGATACTTTTATTTTTACAAAATAGTGCTCAATGTAAATTTACAGACATTAATATTATAAATTAACTGATTTAAAATATGTTTTTTCGCTACACAGTTCTAACAGTATATATATATATATATATATATATATATATATATATATATATATATACACAGAGTAGGCATATACTGTTTAAAATAAACGGAGCGTCTACTCAAATAAGGGTAACCACTAAAAATAACGTTCGAAGTAATAAAAATATGTTGGATTAAAAAATATTAAATTCATTAATTCTGACATATATATATATGTGTGTGTGTGTGTGTGTGTGTGTGTGTGTGTGTGTGTTTTCAATAAAAAAATATTTTAAAAATTGAAATTTTCAGACACACTGTTTGGTATATTAATATTTTTTGTTTTATTATTTCAATAAGGTTCCTCGACTTGTTTCGACCATCATCAGGATATAAAAAAATCCCTGCTTTTTTTAGTAGAAGTGAACTACAGGAATTAATGACTTTCTGAAGAAAAGGAACTTTATCTGTAGTTTTCATGTTTTTTTTTTTTGTTGCTTTTTTTTTATCGTTAATTTTGGTCAATCCTTGTGTTGGTCAAACGGCCTCTTTTAAGTTTATATATATATATATATATATATATATATATATATATATTTGGTCAGCAATCCCTCTTTTATACAAGTCTCATTAAAAACGACTGACGGTTAAATTTTTAAATACTTATATTGGATATACTACTACATGCCTAACAAGAAGACTCACGTTACATATCTCTGATCATAGCTCAATTAGGTTTCATTTAAATACACATGGAGACTTAGCAAACTCTATCCGCAACATACTCGTTGATAATACAAATATAATAGCCTCATCCACATGTTAAAAAGACTAAAAATAATGGAAGCATTATTAATTAAAAAAAAAAAAAAGGCTCACACTCAATAATATCAACTATGAACACGGCCACAATGTGATAGCCGTGTTCGGAAAATAAAACATTCCTATAACTCTAGATACATACATAAAACAATTCATACATTAAGCTAAAATTAAAAATAAAATCATCTTTGATAATAGCTGAGAGTATAGCCAAACGCCCTTTCTACATAATTTACATCCATGAAAAAAGGAAATTATATGAACACAAAAAAAAATTTTATCGCAGTACCTTGTCGGTCGTTTTTAATGAAACTTGTATATATACAAGTTATGGAGCAAAATTCTAAGAAACGAAAATATTTTTGATACACCACAATATATGATTATTTTTCTGGGCCGTATTTCCGACAAGGAGTTAACGTCTTATTTTAAAATTACTCCGTTCAAGTAATGAGGGATATTTTCTTCGGAATCGTCAAATCTCATCAGATAATGGACTCTTTATTATAATGAATGTACAGTGAACATTTTGGGCTCCAAGGAGTTTTAAGTTTTATGTTGTTGATATGAAGAAAGGTCGAGGTGAATGTTTTGTAATCTTTCTCAGAAAGCCATCATTCGTTCATGAGTTTAATAACACCTGGTTTACTTCATTCTGGAAACTGGTCCGAAGATTGTGCGAAATAGAAAAGAGGTAGGGGACAGGAAAGGGTTTGTTCCGGACAGTTCATCATATTGACTTAGAAACGGAAAGGCTGAAAATCAAGAGAGAAAAGAAAAGAAAAATGCAGAACAGTAGACGAAAATCACAAGTGAAAGAAATGAAAGAAAAGCAACAAAAAAAAAGAAAGAAAGAAAGAAAGAAAAGGAATGGAAGGTGTAAGAAATGACTAAAAAGCCAAAGAAGTGAACGAAAAACGAAGCAAATGAAAGACGAACAAAATGACTGAAAGAAGAAAGAAATAAACGAGGAAGAAAAATAAAAATGAAAGAAATGATCGAAAAACGAGAGAAATGAACAAAAAAGGAAAAATAGACGAAAGACCAAAGAATTTTAGGAAATGATCGAAAAATGAAATAAACGAAAGAAAGACGAACAAAATAAAGAAAAAAAAAGAAAAACGAAATCTTTGAAACAAATATGAATGAAATGGACGAGAAAGGAAATGAACCAAAAACGCAAGAAATGAATAAAAAAAAACGGATGGAATGAAAGAAAGATATAAAAATTGAATAAAAGATTAACAGAATGAAAGAAATGAATGAAAGATAAAATATCTTTTTAATTATTTCACCGCAATCAAGGCAGTAAAGCCACTAAGCTGCAAGGGGTTAATTGATGTCATAGAATGGGAAAGAAAAAACATTATTAAGGAGAAAGAACAATAAAAGAACAGGAATGGGCGAAAAAATGAAAGAATTGAATAAAAAAGGGAAGAAATGAAGGAAAAGAAACAACATGAAAAAAAAATAAGAACGAAATGAAAGAAAAAGGTAATAAATGGACGAAGGTTGATAGAAATAATACAACCGAAAAATAAATGAAAGAGGAAAGAAAGGAATGAAAAACGAAAAGGAACCAATCGCGAAGAAATAAAAATAATAAAGAGATATAAAAAAAAAAACAAAAAAAAAACAATTTTTAAAATGAAAGAATGACAAATAAAAGAAAAAGAAATAAAACACAAAGAAAGAAAGAAAATCTATTTCGGATTAAAAAAAGAATAAAGGAAGAAACATATGCAAACGAAATAAGAAAGCAGAATCTTGAAGAAGAATAGGAAAAATAAAGATTAAAACGAAAAAAATAATATAAAATATTAGATATCAAGAAAGAACGAATGAAAAAAAAAAAACGTTAAGCAACAAAAAACTGGAATAAGCTTCTTATTTTTTCCTTCATTTCGTTTATTTTTCATAAATTTCTATCTGGTTCTGGTTGGAAGGTTTCGTGGTTTACAAAATGAATTTAATATTCTACAAACCTTCTAGAAACAATGATAGATGATAGAAAGATTTGGGGAGGGTGATCATATAAAAGGATGAGGTAAATCGAAAGAAACGACAAAATAGGATTAACACAGAAGGGGAAAAAAAGAAAGAAAGAAAGAAAGAAAGAAAGAAAGAAAGAAAGAAAGAAAGAAAGAAAGAAAGAAACGAAGTAGGAAAATAAGAAAGAAATGGAGAAAAAGAAAGAAAAAGGAAGAACGAGTTAGTCGAGATGACAGGCGAGATGCAAGCGAGATTTGTAAATAGACGAGAAATATGGTCAGAAAGTAAGGAAATCAACGGAGAAATGGCGGTCAAGAAGGACTGTTTTCATGGCCAGTGTATAATCTCAGATATAATTCGTCTTCTGTTATTATTACTATTATTATTGTTGTTGCTGTTGTTATTGTGGTCATCGCCATTGAATTTCAGAAGCTCACGGTGGTGCATGCATAGGCGATGGCAGAGCAGAGATAAGGCGGGAAAATCGAACCTGCTTTCAAAGTAGATCCGGCAAGAGATTCTATTTTACAGTGTACGGCCCGATAAACCGCGTATTTAGCATCGAAGCCCATCACCTCAACCCCGCGTTCACTCATTCACCGGTCTGGCCCTAACTGTTTCGCAGCTACTATCAAATCATATCAGAACCAATGACAAGACCCCAAAACTCCAGAAGGCCTCCAGCCCTTACCCAAACGATACGTCATTTTCCAGCTCTTAACTGAGGCCACACGGGTCAGGGTTTTTACAGAATATAAATCAACTACTCCATCGGCTGGTCAAAATTAACACCGGTGCTAGATCCATCGTAATGATTCTTTGGCGTTCGGCGCATTTGTCATAAGGACAGCATTTAAGAAACAAAAAAAAAAAGAAAATACGGAAAGGGTAAGTGGAAAAAAAAAAAGAAAGAAAGAAAGAATAAAGTAGAAATTTTAAAAAATAAAAAGAAAGATAGTAAAGAGAAAATGATAAGGTGAATGGAAAGGAAAAACAAAATAGGATTAACAGAGAAGGAGAAAGAAAGAAAGAAAGAAAGAAAGAAAGAAAGAAAGAAAGAAAGAGATAAAATACGATTGGGAGGGAAACTAATCAAAGAGAGAAAAAAACAAAGAAAATTATAAAGATTAGAAAAATGAAAGAAAAAAAAAGAAACGGAAAGAAAAAACTAGAAACGGAAAAGAAAGAAAGAAAGAAAAGAAAGAAAAGAAAGAAAGAAAAAATTTTAAAAAAAATTTTAAAAATAGAAACGACAAAAAAGAATAACACAGAAGGGAAAAAAAAAAAAAAAAGAAAGAAAAAAAGAAAGAAAGAAAGAATTATTGGGAGGTAGACTAATCAGAAAGAAAGAGCGAGAGAAAAAGAGAGAGAAAAAATAAACAAAGAAATATTGGAAGGTAGACTAAAAAGAAAGAACGAAAGAAAACAAAATAGAAATAAAGTTACTAAAAAGAAAAGGATAAGGTAAATCGAAAGGAAAGACGAAATAGGATTAAGAAAGAAAGAAAGAAAGAATTATTGGGAGGTAGACTAATCAGAAAGAAAGAACGAGAAAAAAAGAAAGAAAGAACTATTGGGAGGTAGACTAAAAAGAAAGAAAGAAAGAACTATTGAGAGATCGGCGATTCAAAAAGAAAGAAAGAAACAAAGGAAATTATGAAGAATAGAAAAATATAGAAATTAGAAAGAACAATGAAAAGAAAAAAGTAAAAGTGGATAAGAAAAAAGAACAAAAAAGAAAATTACAACAGGTAATAAATAACAGTAAGCTAGAAACAATGATAGATGATAGAAAGATTTGGGGAGGAAAAACTAGCAATATGAAGAAAGAAAGGGAGAGAAAGAAAGAAGAACGTGAGATAAACGAAAGGGTGATAGAAAGAATCGAAATTAGGATAAAAATAAGAATGTATTAAATTTAAAAAAAGAAGGAAAAGAAGAAAGATTGAAAAATTGTTTTAAGAGTCAAAAAAACGAAACAAAATACACCCTCCTATATACCAAAAAATTATTTGATCGGTAAATATTATTTTCTTTCATTAGAAATTAAGATACTAGTCGAAAAAAATTAGCAAATTATTTCATAAAGAATTATTTACATTTGAGACTGACAACTTCTGAAAGGGTTAGAGGTATAATCGGAAAAAAAAAGCCTATATACTTGAAGTCATGACTTTCAATTTTTAAATTCAATGCTGCTATGGCGCTTATAATAAATCAAGAAGGCAATAAAGGGAAGGCTTGGGAGAAGAACTTGGAAGACTTGAAGAAAAGACAATTAAATTCTCGGATTCACTTTTCCGCCGAACATAAATTCATACGAGTCGATAACTAAAAGGTTGCCTGTAAAATTTAACACTTTCGCATGAAACGAAACTAAGTCACACACGAGACGATGGGGAAAAGACCGCATACGTTAAACACAAAAGCAAAGAAAATCGGCGAGAAATAAAACATTTCCAGCTTCAAATAAAATAAGGTATGTTGATAATAACGTAAAAAAATACAAAATGCTGACAAAAACAATATATATATATATATATATATATATATATATATACAGATACGGACATATATAGAAGATACATATGCATGCCTCCACGCGTAAACACATGTATGTATGTATGTATATATATATATATACATATATAGATAGATATATATATGTAGAGAGAGAGAAAGAGATACATGCAAATACACAAATATATAAATAATTCTATCGGTATACATAGATATACAAATATATGTATGCATAATATATATATATATGCAAACACAAATATATGCAATATATATGTATAGAAATTTATTTATATATATATACACACACATGCAATATATATGTGCATATAGCCATAAATAAACTTATATATATATATATATGTAAACAGAAATATACGCAATATATATGTATAGAAATTTATTTATTATATATAAAAACACGCACACGTGTTATATATATGCAACTATAAATTATATAAATATATATATATATATATAGACACAAATATATAGTATAAAAAATACTATATATATACTATATAAAAATATATCTAAAATTGTGTGTATATATATATATATATAGACGCAATAAATAACAATATATATATATATATATATAAACATATATATATATATATATATATATATATAAACATATACAGACACAAATAGATAATTATAAATATATATATATATATATATATAAAACATAAACAAATACATATAGAGAAAATTTTATATATATATATATATATATATATATATAACATAAACATACACAAATACATATAGAGAAAATTTTATATATATATACATAAACATACACAAATACATATAGAGAAAATGTTATATATATATATATATATATATATAAAAGACATTGTCTGATAAACCGAATTCCTTACATCGGCGCAAATGTCTTTCTATCGTAAAATGGCAATACTGGTTAAAGTCGAGCGACATCGTCCCTCCCGTCACTCCTAGCACTAAAATTTATCAAATTCTACAGGTTTTATAGCCTGACAGTTTGATCTGAGAAAAGAATACGATCAGCAAGTGGGGGCCCTCGTAAAAAGACACTGCCGCTTCCACGCGGTCATAGAGAAACACTTAACGTGGCTTCGACTCCCAGAATCGAACGTATAGCAGTTAAGAAGCGTGTATGTAAGGAAAACTGAAGAAAAGCGAGAGTGAATGTTTCTTAAGTTCAAAAGTTTTCAAAGCGAGAGAAAGAATTGGTCTGCTATCGTTTAAAAGTTCCTTGCATAGCAACGAGTGTCAAAAACGCCGATTTTATGAGCTCAAAATGTAAATTACAAATTGGAGATACCAAAATTAAGCAACTACAAAAATTTATATATCTGGGAAGTGTTCTAATAGAGGACGGAAAGTGCGACACTGAGATCCAAAGTCGCATTGGGATAGTTAAAGATGTATTCCAGAAGCTAAGCAGAGTATTAAGAGACAGGAAAATTTCGTGAGAAACAAAGAAAAAACTGTTGTCCTCGTGTAAGGCAGTGAATGCTGGACAATCTCCCCAAAGATTAAGAAGCAACAGAAATGTAGTTCTACAGAAGGATGCTAAGGATACCATAGACCAAACATGCGAGCAACGGCGAGGTTTTAGAGAAAATGGGAACAAAAAAGAAACTTATACTTAACATCTGGAAGAGGGAGTTGAAATTTCTACAGAAGGATGCTGAGGATACCATGGACCGAACATGTGAGCAACGACGAGGTTTTAGAGAAAATGGAAACAAAAAGGAAAACATATTTAATATCAGGAAGAGACAGTTGAGGGTTCTACAGAAGGATGCTGAGGATACCATGGACCGAACATGTGAGCAACGACGAGGTTTTAGATAAAATGGAAACAAAAAGAAAACTTATACTTAACATCAAGAAGAGACAGTTGAGGTTTCTAGAGTGCATGAGGAAAGAGAGCTTGGAAAATCTAATACTCACAGGACGGATTCAAAGCAAGAAGGAGAGACGAAAACAGCGCATAACCTACTGAGTGAGCTTGAGTAAATGGCGGAACAATGTTTAGGAGAAATAACAAAAAGACAAAATTTATTAAGAGCTACGAAGGGCCGGAAATTGTGGAGAGCCATGATCGCCTACGTCATGAAGGGACACGGCACATAAAGTAGAAGAATATATCACGCCACGAGTCCTATAAACCATTAAGGCCGTAGATACATCACATGCACTGCAGCTATAACAGTAGTGGATGTGACTAAAGCAAGATAAGTAAGACAGATCCTACTACACCTCAGGTTGGTTTTGAATTCAGAGATTTTCTACCCCTAGGCAGGTGGAGTCACGCAAAGCAAGAGAGTCCGATACAATCCCTGTTAACTTGGAAGAAAATAAATCTATACTTTCATACCAAGAGCGTTTGTGCGAAGTAGAATCGACCAGAATTTGAACCCAGCTCTCCGATTTCAATTTCCTAGCCGAAAACACTTTCAGCGTGTTCATAAAACTTTTGAATAATATTTGATCTAAGGCGACGAACTACAAAGAGTGTAGTTTTCTTTTTGAACGTTAACGTGGGTCACAGGGCTCTCCAGCAAATCAAGAATTTATAAGTTCTAAGGAAGCATTATGATCTCACCACCGCTTCCAAAAATAAATAAAACGACTACAAAACTGATATTTAAAAAAATCTTACTTATTATAAAACGCAGATTGTGTGTGTGTGTGTGTGTGTATGTTTATATATTGGATCGGATTTCTTACATTTTTCAACCGATTTCAACAAAACTTCACAGGACTGCGTAAAATTACCTTACGGTGGTTCTGACAGCGCCAAAAATTAGAAAAACACAATTGTTTTTGCACAAAATCAATTTGAAAACACGATAAAACACGATTTTGTCGCCAGAATGAAAGGGGGACAACTCATATCGAGTTATACTTATAAAACCCAGGTTGTTTGTGTGTGTGTGTGTGTGTGTGTGTGTTCGTTTATATATGGGATCGGATTTCCCTACATTTTTCAACCGATTTCAACAAAACTTCACTTTTTTGGCAGGTAGTGTTTCTTATTGTCTTGCACACTTTTTTTCTTTATTTTTACATTCAGAATGCTTTAAAAATTCCATTTACAAGACAATTGTTTATAATAAAATTCTATTCAATCGATAGACTCATAACGATTGAAAACAATGTTTTTGTTTGAGTTTGACCAATTCGTAAAAAAAAAAAAACACAACAACAAAAAAAAAAAAAAAAAAACACTAATTAAGACATGCGTGTCCGTCAACCTTAAACAATAATTTTGTCAATTTTATTTTTTCAGTCTTTATGATGGTCGATACCTTGATCTATCTCTTACTGTTACATCCCCAGGCAACGCCGGACTCTACTGCTAGTATATTATAAAACAGTAAAAGTATCAAAATCAACTTGTACAACAATTTAAATATCTTGTGTTTTAACTGAGGACAGAAAGTACGACACTGAAATCCGAAGGCGCTTTGGGATAACCAAAAATGCCTTGTGAAAACTAAGCAAAGAATTAAGAAACAGAAAAATTTCGTTAGAAATAAAGAAAAGATTACTGAACAGTTATGTAATATCAAACCACCAAAATGGAGCTAAGCGAGCTCGAGTAAATGGATGACAGAACAGGGTTTAGAAGAGAGATGAAAAAAATACGAAGTAAAAGAAGATACATAGATAGATATTTAAAAGAAAATAGATAGATAATTTTAAAAAATAGATATTTAAAAAAATAGATAGATGTTTAAAAGAAGATAGATATTTAAAAGAAAATAGATATTTAAAAAAATAGATAGATATTTAAAAAAACATATTTTTAAAAATAGATATTTAAAATAAATAGATATTTAAAAAAAGATAGATATTTAAAAAAAGATAGATATTTTAAAGAAAATAGATATTTAAAAAAATAGAAAGATTTTAAAAAACATATTTTTTAAAATAGATATTTAAAAAAAATAGATATTTATTTAAAAAACAGATAGATAGATATTTAAAAAATAGATATTTTTAAAAAAATAGATATTTAAAAAAAAAATCATAGATATTTAAAAAATAGATAGATATTTAAAAAAAAATAGATATTTAAAAAAATAGATATTTAAAATAAATAGATATTTAAAAAATAGATAGATATTTAAAAGATAGATTTTAAAATAGATAGATATTTAAAAAAAAAAAGATTTAAAAACAATTTTTTAAAAAACAGATATTTTAAATATTTTAAAAAAAATAGATATTTAAAAGAAACAGATATTCAAAAAAAATAGATATTTAAAAATAATATATATATTTAAAACAAATAAAACTAAAATCATAAATATTTATTAAAAAAATAGATATTTAAAAATATGGAAATATTTAAAAAAGATAGATTTATAAAAGATAGATTTTTGATATTTTTTTTAAAAAGATAGATATTTAAAAGAAAAATAGATATTTAAAAATAGATAGATTTTAAAAAAAAGATAGATATATATTTAAAAGATAGATAAAAAAAGATAGATATAAGATTTAAATTTGAAAGATAGACATTTAAAATGCAGCTGGATATCTATTTAAAAGAATGGATATATATTTAAATAAAATTTTCATTTTTTTTTTTTGTTGGAATGAATTTTTATTAAAAAAAATATTCCCTTAAAAAGAAAAAAATCTAAATAAAAAAAAAACAAAAAAAAAAAGAAATAAAAAAAAGATTTTTCTTTAAAAAAAAAAAAGATTTTCAATATTTATGAAGAAAAAAACGAACGAAGGAAAATATTAAGAGAATGGATATAGTGAGAAAGAAAATGAATTATATAAAAATTTATTTTATGATTAAATTGTCTGAAACAAAAAGATTGAATAAGAATTTTTTATTCTTAAAAAATTTAGAAAGGGTATATCTGAAAAAAAATGTATTAAAACAATGGAAATGCAAATGAATAATTGTCATTTAAATTCATGAAATCAAGAAAATGATTAAGATGGCATTTGTTTGGGAAAATTTTTGAAAATGTCAAAAATAAAGAAAAAACTCTGTCTGAAAAAAAATAAACAAAAAATAAAAACAAAGAATTTTAAAAAAAAAAAAATGACAAAAAAAATTTTTAAGAATGAAAAGAAAAAAAAAAATTGGAAAAAAACAACATTTGAAAACTTCTAATGAAAAAAAAAAACGAAGGAAAATTAATCATTTTTTAATCAAAAGGAAAATTATTGAAGAAAGAAGAATGATTAAAATTTTTTTTTTTTTTTCAAAAAAAAACACAATCTTCTTTTAAAAGTTTCATTCCAGATGAATAAGAACATTTAAAATTAAGAAAAATTTTTTTTGATTTTTTTTCCATGTAAATATATAGGAAAAAAAAATATATGGCTTAAAATTTTCATCAGATCACTTTTGAAAGAAAATATCTCATCCAATTAAAGAATGGAAAGAATGCTTAAAGAAAATCAACATTTTAGAAGGTTGATTGAAAAAAATGTCATGAAAACAAAAATTTAATTATGGTCAACAAATTCAAAAATTTTTTGAAACCTATAAAAAAGAAAAAAATAAAATCATTTGACTTAATGATATTTGAAAAAAATATTTATGAACTTGATTTTAAAAAAATTTTTTGCCAAAGAAAAAAAAATATTTTTTTCTTTTAAATGGAAAAAAAGAAAAAAAAAAAAAAATAATATAATAATAATGATAGAATAAAATTTTTTGAAAAAAAATTTGAAAAAAAAAAAGAAAAAAAAATGAAATTTTTGTTTAAATTAATAGATAAAAAACAAAAAAATTCTAAAATATTTTTGAGGAAGGAAGAAAAAAAATACAATCCGCAATATTTTTTTTTTAAAGAAAATTTTTAATGAAGGAAAAAAAACTTTTATTTTTTATTAATATTTTTAATATAATTAATTTTTGAAGATATTAAAATAGAAAAGTTTAACAAAATTAACAATTTCAAATATATTAAAGACGCCTCCTTATTTTTATCCGATTCAGTCCTCGTAAATGTTTTTTAAGAAAATTTTGCTCCCCATATTTTTTTCGCATATCATTTTCATTTTCGTTTTTTATTCCCAAATATTTTTTTTTTTCTAACCTGATTTAATGAATAATTTCCTTGAAAACAATAAAAAAATATAACAAAACTTTTAATATCATTTTGAAATAATGTAAATATTTGTATTTAAATAAATTTTGATTTTTTTTAGTCAGTTTGAGTTAAAAAAAATATTTAACCTTTAATATCTTTCTGGAATCCCTGATGACAATTGCAAAAAATACAACAAAAATTTATTTAAAAATAATTCTTACCCAAAAGCAAATTGATTATATTTTTTTCAAGAATAAAACTGGATTTTTTTTCCTGAAAATAAAATATTTGAAAAATGGGGGTTTTCATTTCATTTTAAGTAACGTTTTCAGAAAAATTTTTCTTTAAATTAAAAACTTCTTTTTTTTTTTTAAAAAAAAAAAATTGCAGACACATATTCAGTTAAAGGCAAATACATAATAAAAAAAAAAATAGGCATTTGTTTTTAATATTTTAAATACAAAAGGTGTTTATTTGAAATATCGGACAAATTTTTGAGTTTTGTCTTTTTTCATTCTTTTTGAAGGACATTTTTTTTTTTATTATATTATTTATATATAATTTAGTTAAAAGAATTAATGAAAATAATATAAAAATTAATGAACAAAAAAAGTATTTTTTTTATTTTTATTTTAAAATTTTTTAAAAAAATATCCTATTGGTTAAATTTATTCTATTTTTAAAATTAGCACAAATAAATAAATCGAAAATTTGAATAAAATTAATTTTTTGAAAAATTGAAATTAAGAGAAAAAAAAATAAATGGCTGTATCATAAATCCGGTTGAAATTTGTATTTGAAAATTCACAAAAATATTTATTTTTGAAATATTTTTAAAATCGTTTATTCTAATTTTTAATGGATAAATTTATTTACTTTAAATAGACTGTCTCATAAATGGAAAATTATATTGTTCAATAATTATTTGGTATATTTATAATTATTTTTACTAGAGAAACGGTTATTTAAATTTTTTAAATTTTTTATTTATAAATACCCCAATTACTTTTTGAACTAATGCAAAAATGGTTAATATCATTTTTTTATTTTATATAAATATCTATAGCCATCTATAAACATTTTATTTAAATTTAAACAAAAACCTTAGATATCGTTAATAAATTAGACAGATTTAAAAAAAATTAAAAAAAATTTTTGCCCAAAGACAGAATTTTCGTCTTCAGCTCAAAGATCTTAAATATAATATATTGCAAATTTCGATATAATAATAAATAAATAATTTAATTTTTAATAATTTAAATCCTGGATTTTATTTTTGTTTTTTTAATTTTTTAATTAATTATTGAACAATTTAGTTCAAAATTTTGACAGTAAAATTTAAAAGTAAAATAATTTGTTCATTACCATATTTGGTATAAATGCAAACATTTTAAAAAAATTAAATTAAAATCAAACTCAGCGTTGCATTGGCAATTTAAAAACCAATATTTTAAATAATTATTTTTTGTACAATAAAACATATATTTATATGTTTTGTCCTTTATTACTAAGAAAAAAAATTTTTTACAACATCTTTTTATATACCTGAAGATGTCTGTTTGAACAGACGAAAAACTGCTTGTAAATAATGAACTTTTTGGCAGAAATTTATATAAACAATTCATTCATAAAATTTTATCTAAATTTTTTAAATTATTTGAATTGTTTGCCTTTGGATGTCTCCACATTTAAAAATTTAACCTTTTGCATTAGTTTTGTGTGAATAATTCATTTTATTTAAATATTGATATATATATATATATATATATATATATATATATATATATATATAAAATAATTTTGATTTAAACGATATAAAATTAAAATTTATATGCCATAAAAATTTTTACATGAAAATCTATGACAATGTTTTTTTTTTATTTTTGTGACGGATTTCGTTTAATTTTTTTTTTTTTTTTCAATATTCATTACTTGCTCATTGTAATGAGTCTAAACATAATTTTGATGCAGCAAACGTTACTTTAATTAAAGGAGAAAGCAAGTGACAAGAAACGGGAGATGTATAGAAAGTGCTATAACTGCAAGATCATCCACAGTAAGTTTACGTCCATTTTGTTACATTTCATTTTTCAAATCTTCTATTACCAAAATATGGGATTTTTAATAACAGAAGTGATAAAAAAAAACATCGACAAAAAAGAAAATAAATAAAACTGGCTAGACACATAAAAAATCCAGACACATAAAAAATCTTTAAATTTAACGACAAAACGCCTCAGAAGTAAATTTATTTTCCATTCGTCATAGATTTTCCTATATATATATATATATATATAGGGTGTGATGAGTAAATTGTTGCCATTTTTAATTTCGCGCATGCGCGTTGTTTGTTTTTGATTTTGTCGATTGCACAATATAGTAGGCTCAGTTAGGCACAGTCTATGAGAAAAAGAGCACCATGTCGCAATTCACTCCGCCAGAAATTTGGAAATAGTATGCTGTTCTGCTTGGCATTCGCGCCGGAAGCTCCAATACAAACATTTCAGAGTGTTTGGGTGTCAATCTGAGGACAGTGAAAAGGATACGGAAAGAGTTGGATGAATCTAATGGTCATTATGAAGCTGTTTGAAGTGATCACTAGTGTTGGTGACGTTATACCTCCATTCATCTTCCCACAGGCCTCAAACTCAACATGGAGGCCTACAACAAGTGCCTTGAGTGGGTAGTGCTGCCCTTGGTCAAGAGGGTCGCAGCTGGAAGATCCTATGTCTGCACCATGCCTCAACAAGCAGGAGAACACATCATGGCTGTCAGACAATTTCTGCGACCACATAATCCCATACCTCTGGCCACCTAACTCCCCAGACTGCACCCCCCTTCATTATTATGTGGGGGGCGCAGTTGAGCGAGAGACCAACAAAGCCCCTTGTAACGCCAAAGGTGAACTGAAAGCAAGGATTATGGCAGCATTCACCAACTTAAACAAGGAGACCGTCCAGAAGAGT